AAATAAATAAATAAATAAATAAATAAATAAATAAATGCCTGGTCCTATTTCCACCAGAACTGAAGCTGATGATTTGGAGCACTCTATGATTAATAGACTTGGTGAATGTGGGGGCCTGTGATGGTCTTCTGAGGGTGAGGCCCACTGTCCTGGCTCACAGTCAGACCTGCCCTAGTAACGATGCATTCGCAGGGTGCAGGGAGGCAGGGCTTGGTGTAAGCAGCCTCAGCCTCCACTGGAGGCGCTGTGTTGCTCACTGAACTCCAACCACACTGGTAGGCCAGGGGAAGATGGCATTACACTGCTGTCTAGTCTCTAGAGAGGGAAGCTTGCACCTGCCACTATTGAGGAAGCACTCACAGACAAGGGAACAATCTCCCCTCTTGTGTCCCAGCTTCCATCAGATCCCTGCCCTCACCATGTCTGTGCCCAAGCTGTCAACACACCCGGTGTCACAGTTCTCCTTTGTTTTACCTCTGGCACCCAGCCCAGATCCAAAACTCCAAACCTTGAAGGGCCTGGTACGATGCAGACCTGCTCCTGTCCTTCAGAGGAGAGCCTCATAGTGCTGTGTCTTGTGCCGTTCTGTCCCAGGAAAGCAGTTGCATGGCTGCACCGGTGCTTGGAGTTTATGGTGAAGCACAGCAAAAAGCAGAGACCAGATTATATGCCCTCTGCCTGTATTTCTGTCCTTTGCTGATGAACGGCCACTCAATGGTGCTGGCAAGGGTCTTTTGTCCTTGGAGAGGCAATATACCCCTCTTCCAAATGTCCTTTAAGAAGGGGAACATTCTCTCCCAGTGGGACCCAGGAGATCGTTACACCATGCTCTCTGCTCCCAGGCTTCTGCCCTCCTCCCCAGGTGCACTGCTGCCCAGCTGGCTTGACTGCAGCCAATGGTGCAGACTTCTAAAACCTCAGAATTTGAGCTTCCCTGCTTTGGGGAGTGTTTTTCTTGTGCAAACCCAATATGCAGCTCTCCCCTTCTCTCTTCTCTCTCCACCAAAGGCTTCCCTCTGTGGCAATATAGCTTTCCTCTCCCCTAGTTCACATCACTGCATCTCATACCAGACATTTTCTCTCCCTGTAATTGTGCAACTTGTTCTCTTAAGCCTCAGATTGATTTCCTAGGTGTTCAGAATGATTTGCTGTTAATCTAGCTGTGTTCAAGGGACAAGACAAGCCCAGGATTCCCCTAATACTCCACTAATCTTAACTCCCTCTCCCTCATGTAATTATATTTTTGTTAAAACCCATAGAATGTAGGGGCACCTGGGGGCTCAGTCAGTTAAGCATCCGACTTTGTCCGACTTTGGCTCAGGTCATGATCTCGCAGTTCATGAGTTCCAACCCTGAGTCGGGCTCTGTGCTGACAGCTCAGAGCTTGGAGCCTGTTTCAGATTGTGTCTCCTCCTCTCTCTTCCCCTCCCCTGCTCGCACTCTGTCTCCTTCTCTCAAAAAATAAACATTAGAGGCGCCTGGGTGGCGCAGTCGGTTAAGTGTCCGACTTCAGCCAGGTCACGATCTCGCGGTCCGTGAGTTCGAGCCCCGCATCGGGCTCTGGGCTGATGGCTCAGAGCCTGGAGCCTGTTTCCGATTCTGTGTCTCCCTCTCTCTCTGCCCCTCCCCCGTTCATGCTCTGTCTCTCTCTGTCCCAAAAATAAATAAACGTTGAAAAAAAAATTAAAAAAAATAAATAAACTTAAAAAAAATTAAAAAAAATTAAAAATTAAAAAACCATGGAATGTAGAACACTAAGAATGAACCCTTATATAATCTATGGATTGGGGTAATGATGTGTTAATGTAGGTTTGCTGATTGTAACAAATGTACCACTGTGTTGCAGAATGTTGATGTGAGGGAGACTGTGTGTATATGGGGATAGAGAATATCTGGAAACTCTCTACTTGTCCCTCAATTTTGCTGTGAAACCAAACTTTCTCTAAAAATAAAGTTTATTAAAAAATTATATACTGTTAAATGCACAGATCTTAAGTGTATAATTAAATCTGTTTTGATTAATGTATATACCCATGTAATCACTACACCAAATCATAATTTAGAACATTTTCATCACCCCAGAAAGGTTTCCTGTACCCATTCCCTTAAGCAATTATTGTTCTGATTTCTATCACCACATATTGGTTTACTTCAGTCTTGGAGTTCATTTGAAAGGAATCATACAGTATATACTCTTTTATGTCTGCCTTCTTTCACTTAACATATATTTTTTATTTTTTTTATTTTTTATTTTTTTTTAACATTTATTTATTTTTGAGACAGAGAGAGACAGAGCATGAATGGGGGAGGGTCAGAGAGAGGGAGACACAGAATCTGAAACAGGCTCCAGGCTCCGAGCTGTCAGCACAGAGCTCAACGTGGGGCTCGAACTCACGGACCGTAAGATCATGGCCTGAGCCGAAGTCAGCCACTCAACTGACTGAGCCACCCAGGTGCCCCTTAACATATATTTTTTAGATTCGTCCATAGTTTTGAAAATATCAGTAGTTCATTTTTTTTTATTGTTGAGTAAAATTGCATTAAATAAATACATCACAATTTGTCTATTCAAACTTCTTTTGTTATTATATTATATTATATTATATTATATTATATTATATTATATTATAGAGAGAGAACATGAGTGGGGGAGAGGGACAGAGGGGGAGAGAAAGAGAGAGAGAGAGAGAGAGAGAGAGAGAGAGAGAGAGAATCCTAAGCAAGATACATGCCCAGCACGAAGCCCAATGCAAGGCTCAATCTCACAACCCTGGGATCATGACCCAAGCTGAAACCAAGAGCCTGATATTCAACCAACTGAGCCACCCAGGTGCCCCAATTCATCATACTTCTTCTGATGGAAATTTGGGTTGTGTCAAGTTTCTGCTTTATATGTGATGCAATTATAACATTCTTTTTTTTTTAAGAGTTTTTAAAAACTTTATTTATTTATTTTGAGACACAGAGAGCATGATGGGGGAGGAGCAGAGAGAGAGAGAGAGAGAGACAGAGAAAGAGAGGGAATACCAAGCAGGCTCCATACTGTCAGCGCACAGCCCAACTTGGGACTCAATCTCATGAACCATGAGATCATGACCTAAGTTGAAATCAAGAGCTGGACACTTAACTGACTGAGCCACCCAGGTGCCCCAACAATTATGACATTCTCTCACAAGATTGTGTGGACACATAATTTCACTTCCCGTGGGTCATGGGGTAGTTCCATAAAAACTGCCCCTTGCTTTTCCATAGAAATTTTAGCATTAAATTTCAGTTACTACAGGGGCACCTGGGTGGCTCAGTTGGTTAAGTGTCTGACTTCAACTCAGGTCATGAACTAGCGGTTTGTGAGTTCTAGCCCTGCATTGGACTCTGTGCTGACAGCTCAGAGCCTGGAGCCTGCTTTGGATTCTGTGTCTCGATCTCTCTGCCCCTCATTTGCTCACACATTCTGTCTATCTCAAAAATAAACAAACATTAAAAAAATTTCAATTACTACAAAGAGTCTACTGGGATTTTGATTTGCATTGGTTGAGTATATTGACAATCATAGTTTTTCTCCTTTATTCTGTTAATACAGAGAATTACATTGTTTTTCAAATATTAAGCCACTCTTGCATTCCTGGGATAAACCCTACTTAGTCATGATATGTTATCCATTTTCACTTCAACTGCTAATTATTGGTAAGGATTATTGCCTCTATCTGTGTACGTTCTACAATTTTCTTTCCTTGTCTTATAAGTTTTCCTGGCCTTATCTCTATTCTAACAGAATTTGTGTACAATGACGTTATTTTTTCCTTAACTATTCACCAAGACCGTTGGCCTAGAGTTTTCCTTGTCAGAAAATTATTGATTACCAAATTCAATTTACTTAGTAGATATACAACTGTTCAGGTTATCTTCTTTTTGGTAAATTGTGTTTTTCAAATAATTTGCCTACTTCATCTGAATTGTTGAATTTACATTTTTCTATATTTTTCATGATCAGTCTTACTAGAGGTTTATCACCTTGTTTGAATTTGTTGACGAATCAACTTTTGGCTTTGTTAATTTTCTCTATTTGTTTGTTTTTCATTTCATTGATTTCTGGTTTTTATTTCCTTCCTTCTATTTACCTTGGATTTAATTCGTTCTTCTTTACATATGAAGCCTCTATGTTGCAACCTTAGATCATTGATATTTAAACAATATTTTTTCTTTTCTTATTGCATAATACTTTAGCATTTTAAAGTATTGATTTCCCTCTAAGGAAGTACTGCTTTGGCTGCATCCCATAAAATTTAATATGTTGTATTTTCATTATAATTCAGTTAGAAATATTTTCTAACTCACATGTGATTTATTCTTTTGTTCATAAGTTATTTAAAGTGTGTTGGGGCTTTTCTTCATATCTTAATTAAATGAATTCTAATTTAATTGTGTTTTTATAGAATATATGCTATAATATTTCCCTTTTTTGAGACAATAAGACTTAATCTATGGCTCATTATATGTCTATTTCATGAATTCTCCATCTTACTTAAAAAGAATATATATCTTTGTAGTTGTTGGGTATGGTGCTGTATATGTCTATTTTGTCAAAGTAGTTGACAGTATTATTTAAATCTTTTTTCACATTAATTTTTCCCTTCCTTTTAAAAAGTCTAATTTTGGTTCTGTAGATACAATGACTTATTAACTTTAGTCACATACACATATAGACTTCACAGCTGCCCACCCCACAAAGACCTTTGTACTAAGGAAACCCATCCAAGAATTATGCCCCTGTGAAGCCATGAAGGCAACAAGAACTGGTTTTGAAGATTGCTCCTCAGTTCCTAGTTTCTCACAACTCCTGCCAACCTACTTTCCATTACAGCATAGAACTTTTGTTTCTAAAATCCAGTCTCAGGGTGCCTGGGTGGCTCAGTCAGTTAAGCGGCTGACTTCAGCTCAGGTCATGATCTCACAGTTCATTAGTTCAAACCCCACATTGGGCTCTCTGCTTCAGATCTTTTGTCCCCATCTCTCTACCCTTCCCCTGCTCATGCCTGCTCTCAAAAATAAATAAACATTAAAATAAAGTAAAGTAAGATAAAATCCAGTCTCTACTCATGATTTGGTGGTTAGCCTTATGGTTCCCAGTATTTGTCGTTCATTCTACTGCATGGATTCTGGCTTAAGGCACTCCTCTGGTTCCTAAGGGGGAGTCAAGCAACTTGTCAGAGGCCACCTGCATGGGTATCAACAAAGAATTTTAAAGCGTTGCTCAAATCCTGATTTCTGCTGTAAGACCTACTTATGAGCCTGTTCCTAAAGCATCTTAGGAGAATTTATGTGCCAGACATTTAAAAGATACTGCCTGATTCCCATGCTGAGAATATGAGACTGATACATTTCTCTTGTTTTAATAATTTAATAAATTATTAATGAAGCTATGCCTTCTGTAACTGATAACAAACTATTAAAATGGAGTATTAGTGTAGACATTACTGCCAAAGCTGTCATACATAGAACAACAGATTTGGCCTGAAGGAAGGCTGAGAAAATTCAAGCTGAATATCAAGTGGAAGCAGTTTTATAGCATAAGGTCACCCATGAATGCCTTGGCAACAACTAAGCATTCCTTTGATTCTTTTATTAGATTGGCTGGCTGTTCCCTACAAAAAGCAGGGCCTTGAATAGAAGGGACCCAGAAGTTGGGTGTATTGAGGGGAAAAAAAAGGAAATTATCAGAATACGGGGTTTGGTCCAAGGTAGGGGGCTCTTTTTAGTAATAAGTTCCTATACATACCAAAAAGTAAGAAGGAAGCTGAAGAAAGACAGTGGTCCTAAAGATGTCTCCTGTCTCATGGTGCCGGCTAGGGGAGCGTTTCTAAGAGTGCTGTCAACATCTCATGGAAACTTGTTAGACATGAACATTTTTAGGCCCCATTCTAGAGTTCTTGAATCAAATTCTAGGGAAAAGACAGCAATCTGTATTTAACCAAGCCCTACAGGCGGTCCTCATGTACAGCGAGTTTGAGAACCACAAGGAGAAGGCCAGTCCTGGGTGGGCTGCTGAGAGGTCACTGCAAGGGTGAGTTGTATGATGGCCACCACCACCACCAGGCACCTGCTCAATTCCCTTACGCTTCTTCTGGAATTATGTTTAGATTTGGCCTCCTCCATTGTGTATGTACACACTAGGAAGCTTTGAAGTAGAAGCTATAAAAAGTTAAATTACATTTATTTTTTCATAAGATAATTCTCTACTCACATTACAACAGTATTCTATTTCTTGTAAACAGAAGGAGTTCAACGAATAGTTGTTGAATGAATGAATGAGGAGTGCCTGAGGGTACCTTCAGTCAAGCATTAAAGCCTAAACCAGGACAAAGGCATTAAACAAGCAGATATTTCTATGAAAATATCTTTTCTAAGAAAAGTATCAGTTATTTTTTTCTGTATCAGTTTATCTTTTCCCCTGGTATTGCCAAATGAATAAAATTAGCATTATTCCTATCCCCTAGGAGTGCATGGTTTTCTTGCTCTATGTGAGTAGATAACAGGCTAGTAAAAAAGCCAACACAGAATGAGACACTGAAGAAAATGCTCCCTCCAAGAAATGCAATTACACGAATTAAAATGCATTCAAATAAACACTTCCTAGACACCTGGCATGTACAATCATTTATACTGTGATTTCATATTTCTCGGGATTCTCATATGTGTGGTACTATCACTGGCATGGTAAAAATGAGCCACAGGATATTACAAAGTTAATATAGAAAAATTCCCTTGAAGAGTAATGAAGATAAGCATCATTCTCAATAGCAACAATCTGAGAGCTTTATCTGGGATAACTTTCATTATTGCTTCTTTAAAAAAACAGTTCTTGAGATATAATTCACATACCGTAAAATTCATCCTTTTAAAGTGTACGATTCTATGGGGTTTTTAAAGTAATTTGTGCAATCATCACCACAATCTAATTTTACTTTAATTTTTATACTCAACCCCCCAACACACACAAAAATGTTGTACCAATTATCACTCAATCCTCATTGCTCTCTCCAATCCCCAACTGTTATCTACTTTCTGCCTCTATAGATTTGCTTATTCTCATTCTCTCTCTCTCTCTCTCTCTCTCTCTCTCTCTCTCTCTCTTTCTCTCTCTCTCTCTCTGTGTGTGTGTGTGTGTGTGTGTGTGTGTATTGTTGCTATTTTATTTGTTCTCTAGATAGTGACGGTTAATACCTACTGAGAGTTAGTTATATGCCAGTCATTATTTTGAGCACTGTATACCTATCAGCTCATTTAATTCTCAAATTCCTTAAGGTAGTTGCAGGGTCTAGCAACTGTGGGTCTGTCATGCAGTAGAAAGTTGAAGACAAATCATTCTTGCTCCAAGTCCCCAAGTCAGTGTCAAGGAAATCCACAGGCAGTGTTCCAGGGATGGGTTAAAGGTTTAATGCCACAAGGCTTCCCAGACTCTATGGTGACTGCAGGTTAGTGTCAGAACTTCTGTGTCCCTTGAAAGAGTGAGATTCCTATCAGGTGACCTGCTAGGTGCTTTTCTGTCCATGCAACCTGTCCTTAGAGGCTCTGCCTCTTCTGGTCAGACCCCTGTCCTCTGACAGGCTCAGGAGTTTGAGTTTCCCTCTCCGTCACCTCCACCTATCTTTCCAGCTCACTCTTTTAGCCTTATGCCAGTGGCCCTTCAACCCCAGGGGGACTTCCAATCTACTTACCTCACTGCCTGCATCTTGTTTTCTTCTGTACCTGCTGGGTTCCCCAGTCCATCCTTATAATTACTCCCTGGCTTACACCCTCACCTCACATGCCCCTCTCTCCTCTGTTGCATTTATAGAAGCAACAATCCCAGTCCTGGTAAAAAAAAAAAAAAAAAAAAAAAGTAATAATAATACCCAACTTGCATCCAGGCAACTGAATGTGGATGGAGAAAAACGCAAACCCATGCTGACTTAAAACTGTTTCATGGACTAAAACTGTGTTGCCTAGAAGCCCATGTTTCCATATCCCATTCTGTCCAGCACTCCCCTAAATGTGCATCTTGCCTTCATTCTCTGTCCTCAAGTCTCCAAAGCCACTGCCTTCTTATTCTCAACAAGTCAGGCAGCTTGCTGGCACTCTCTGGCCTGGCCTGGGTCCAATCCCATATGGGTGTGCCCGTGCCCTCTTATGAGGGCTTGCTGTTGACCACCCCTTGCCCCAACCATATGACCCAGTGCATTTGGCAAACACAAGTTACAATGAGCAGCTCTGGCTCCGGGTTACCTGATGTTCTGTGGTTACATATATCAACTCTCACAAGACCAATTGCCTGACAGGAGCTTCCTTATTTGAAGTGGTAGCCAGCCTTTTTTCAGAACCTGAGGGGTCTACGTTGTGCTTCTCCTACCCGGCTTGCCATAAACTCCCACAGCATTGTTTCCTATCACAGGTACCTCAGAGGGCCCAGCAACATGACTGCTCACACCATGACTGGTCTTGCTGCAGGTCCCTTTTTTGCTCTGGGTCCCCTCTGGCAGCCTTCCATGTCATCTGCCAAATGGGATAGAGCAGTATTCCCAAATGTAGAATATGCCACCTCCAGACCCTGAGAGGCTGATCACGCAGTGTGCCTTTTTGTTAGTGATGGGATATCAGCATGCCCCAGTCCTCTGGAGCTCTGAACACCTCACTGTGATGTAGCAGGCTCCTAAACCTTGACAGGCTTACTTCCCATCCTCTAGACTTCTGGTGTCTTCATTTCTTCCTCTGGTATGATTAGCACCATTCTATCAATATAGTGGACCAATGTCTTACTCTGTGGAATGTCCAAGTCCCTTTTCAGCTAGAATGTGACTGAAGACAGGGAACTAACATAGTACTGGGGAAAGAGTGAAATGTATATTGTTTCCTGCCCATGTGAATGTTCACTGCTTGTAATCCTTCTTTCTGATAGGATGGAAAAGAATACATTTGCCAGATCAGTGGCCACATATGTGTGTACCAGAGGTTGCTTTAATGTGCTGTAGCAAAGATGCCCCATCTAGCACAGCAACTGCCATTGGGGCTACTACTTGGTTACAGCTACCACAGTCCCCTGTTATCTGCCATTATCTATCCAGCTTTCGTAGGAGCCAGATTGGTGAATTAAATGGGGATATGAAAGAGACCACTAGCCCTTCATTCTTTAAGGCTTTGAAGGTGGTATTGATTTTGAGGCATTGTTTTTGATTTACTACCTTGACTGAGGAAGGAAGGAGTTGCAGAAGTTTCCACTTGGCCTTTCCACTGCAAAAGCTCTTATCTTACGTGGGTGAGGGTTCTGTCAACTAAAAAGTATGCCCAGTTTTATTGTTAATTTGGGACTGCTGAAGGGACCAATGTGTAGGTCTGTGAGCTGAACCTGGACCGGGATCCCACTGACTCTCTGGTCCCATCCACTTCCAGTATAGCAGGGAAGGTATGGTGGTACTTTGGATCCCCGGGTAACAATGTCAATTCAGACTGTCCAATAATCCTCAAAATAATATAAGCATTCTCCTTTCTCCAATGCATGGTTACCTGTGTAAGCAGCCATAGTTCTCTGTGGAAGTACTGAGGAGTCACTATTGAATACACCTGCCATGCTTTTGCAGACACTGGTTTCTCCTTCGTCAGTAAGTTCTGGGTCTAAGAACAGGCTCAGGTCCAGAAGGTGGGCAAGGGATCAATGACTTTGATTTTTAAAAAATGTGTTCTAATTAGCCCTCTTCCTGGTTCCCTGTATGGGGACTCCCTTAGCTGCTACTCCAACTTGTCCTCACTCACCTTGATTTTAATGGTTAAATGCTGCCACCTGCCTCTATCCTTTTGGACAGTTGCAGTGCTTGTTGTATGTCAAGGAGCCCAGTTGTGAAGGGTATCTCCTTTCATTGGTGACAGCCTCCAGAGGACAGTCACCACCGAGCTCCTCACAATTCTCACCCCTCACCAGCAGTCCTGTCCCCATCGCTCTGCTAAATAGTGTCTTCCGGGCCCTCATTTGGAACATGGCTTTGTGAGACATGCCTTCCTTTCATGTGGCCCAGCACTTTTTTCAAGCTTCCAAGAGCTATCCTCACAGTCTCAACACCGCCAGTGTGTTAAATCCTGCATTACCGGAGGGGATAACTCCTACTTACCCAACCTGATGTTCAGTTGCTCTGTATCTAGCACCTTGGGGATTCCATTCCATGTATATTCCCAGCTCCTGCAGGAATATATTAGTTGGATTCTGCGGCTCCTTTGGTGTATAGTCCCTCTCTTCCATTGGTAGGCTCAGGACATCCTCAGATGGGCTATGCTGGGGCTTGACCCCTGTGATGGTCTGGCTGCCAGGAGAGGAGATGGGAGTAATCCTTAGGGTTGATAGCATGGTGTTGCAAAGCACTCGCCTCATTTGAGGCCTCTACAAGATCTTTAAGCAAAGGGAGGGTACTGTTTTTTAATAAGGGGAAATTGATCACTTCTGCAGGCCCAGTGGCTTCAAGGTTCTCAATTGCATCTTTACAGATAATCTCATCCCAAGTTTTAGGGGTTCCACTTCTTTGCTATTAGACCCTGACCCTGTACAGAGATGAGAAGGGGCCGAGAAGTCAACCTTCTCTGAGCTCTGCTACTGTTAAGATTAAGCCTTGAGCCCCATCCTCCTTTTTATCAGCTCTCCAGGTACAGATTAGGATTTCCTTAAACATTGCCAAGAGACCCGCTAGCTCTCATGTTTTGTCCTGAATTGGTGATGAATCAATTTTCCTGAACACCTGTCAATAACACCTGTTATTTCTTTTCAATGAACCTATGTGCTTAGCGACAGCCACCCAATTCCATAGTCTTTATAGTTATCATTTCCCTCTTACCTCTTGAGGATCAGAGGTATTATACCAGCCACTGTATCCTATTCCAGTCATATCCCAGCCTAGTTCACTGTGGGTAAAAGTTTTAGCAACAGAACTACGGCATTCCAAGACCTGTACACACTGCACTACTACTGGTGATGAGGTCCTTGTTGCTAGCCTGCCAGCAAGCGATCCAGCTCAAAAGTTCCATTTTAGAGTCTACTTCCTAGGAGCTCTCCAATCTTTAGATTATTCCCTGGAAACAGAGAGATAGAGCATTGCATGCTCAAGGTTTGTTGAGAAATGCTTGAGAGACATGTGTAGGAAAGTGAGGTAGACACAATAGAGCAGAGAGAGAAGCTGACCTATAATGCAGTTGCAGCTAAGCCACTCCTACAGGGTACTCTGGGATGAAGCATATACCTTTGTGTCCCTGTGTAAACTAGTTTTGGGAAGGGAAGTAGCCTTGGGCAAGGCAGTGCCCTGTGGCTGAGGGCATTTCCCAGTGAAGGACATGGCTCTGAGCCTATGCTGCAAGCAGTTGTGGGTGAGTGTGTCTGCCCTAAAGAGAGGATCTAGGCAGATCTATTATGCCTGATCACTCCAGCAATCCTATCTCTCTCTCACTTTACCTTCTTCTCTGTCTATTGTCTCATCCTCCTCAGCGTACAATTCTGCTGGTAATCCCTTCCATTAAAGAAATAAACCTTTGTTATTGGCTTGGCTCAGAGGAGCTTGAGGGAGCTGAGCCTCCAGGTATTGCAATAATTATCAAAAACAAGCCAAAATGAAAGCGAGAGTCAAGACTTTAATTGCTTAAAGCAATAGTGTAGAGCAAGAAGCTAAATTGGAGAAATCACTGACTCTCTCTGCCTTCTTGTTTCCCTCAAAGAACTGCCTGTCAGTCAAGGGTCAGTTGATTAGGGGTGGCTAATCCTTCTCAGTGTCTCATTGCTGAAAGATCCTGGGGTTTTCTGGACCCTTGGGCTGGGGAGAGGGAAAAGGAGAAGTGCTGGGAATGGAAAAAAACTGAGCACTGAGTCAGGGTGGAAAGGATGTCTCCAAGGTTTCCCTTCCTTTCTCCAAAATAAGAGGCATCTGAAGGCTTCAGAAGACCTCAGAGAAAGAGGTTTTTTTTTTTTTTTTTTTTTTTTTTTTTTAATTTATTGTCAAGTTAGCTAACATACAGTATAGTCCTGGCTTCTGGAATAGATTCCCATGATTCATCACTTAACATACAACATCCAGTGCTCATCCCAACAAGTGCCCTCTTCAAAGCCCATCACTCATTTTCCCAACCCCACCCTCAACTCCCCACCCTCATCAACCCTCAGTTTGTTCTCTGTATTTAAGAGTCTCTTATGGTTTGCCTCCCTCTCTGTTTGTATCTTATTTTTCCTACCCTTCTATGGTTTTAAGTTTCTCAAATTCCACAAATGAGTGAAATCATATGATATCTGTCTTTCTCTGACTTATTTCGCTTAGCATAATACCCTCCAGTACTATCCACATTGTTGCAAATGGCAAGATTCCATTCCTTTTCATGGCCAAATAGTACTCCATTGTATATATTAAACCACATCGTCTTTACCCATTTATCAGTTGATGGACATTTGGACTCTTTCCATGATTTGGCTATTGTCGAAAGCACTGCTATAAACATTGGGGTAAATGTGCCCCTTCAAACCACCACTCCTGTATCCTTTGGATAAATTCCTAGTAGTGCTATTGCGGGGTCGTAGGGCAATTCTATTTTTATTTTTTTGAGGAAACTCCATACTGTTTTCCAGAGTCACTGCACCAATTTGCATTCCCACCAGCAGTGCAAGAGGTTCCCCAAAAAAGAGGCTTCTGTTGGAGGTGCCTGGATCAGACTACAAATGTGCATAAGAGCAAGGTTAAGCCAGAGGAATCTGAGTCCTTAACTGCAACTCCCTTCAGAGGCTGCAGCACACTGGCTGTGCACCAAGTCTGTGCACCTTACAGCTTTCCCCTGTAAGGTCTGCCAGGGAAGGCCTTTGTAATTGCCTATGGTCAAGTTTGAAAGATCACACTGTTGAAGAACAAAAATGCCACCAAGTAAATTTTAAAGATCTAATTGGCTTTATTAATGAATTCATGAATTTGGCAGCATCCTATCTAACAAGTAGAGAGAGAGGAGCTCTGTTGAGCTGCAGGAAAGGCAAGGTTTGGCAGGAAAGGCAAGGCAAAGAGGGAATGGAAAAAATGAAATTATTAGCAAAGAATGCATTGTTTTAGGCAAGGTCACCCTCCTAAGGGGAACAGGAGTCTATCAGTAAATTTCCCAGTGTTGACCAGGAAATTCCAGGTTGACTGGGGCAGGGGGTAAAAATGTAGTTAGGTTAGGTATTTACCTAAATCTTAATTTGGTGGCATGGGGCCCTTTAACATAAGTGGCTCCATTTGGGGCCTGTGGGTTTCTTTTTGACAACACATAAGTTTTTAGCCTGGAGCTAGACTCCTCACCCTTTTCTTATGGCTCCATTTTTCTGCCCCTCCCACTAGCAAAAAACTTTTTTCTATCCATTCTTTCCAGTTTCTTTCTCCTCATTGTGTCATGAACTCATTCCCATTAGACTTTTGTCTCCATCATTTCATTAAAACTGTTTTTTGCAGATACCCAAATCTCGATGTTTCATTTGTGTTTCTATGGGCAATTGATTTTCAACAGGTATACCAAGACCATTCAATGTGGGAAGAATAGTCTTTTCAACAAATGGCCCTGGGCCAACTGAAAAGCTACATGCAAAATCATGAAGTTGGATCCTTACCTCACGTCATTTATAAAAATTAACTCAAAATGGAGCAAATAACTAAATGTAAGAGCCCAAACTATAAAACTCTGAAGAAACATAGACATCATGACCCTGGATTTGGCAATGGATCCACCAAAAGCACAAGCAACCAGAAAAGAAAAAAATTGGACAGCAAGAAAATTAAAATCTTTTGTGTTTCAAAGGGCACTATGAGAAAGTAGAAAGACAACCCATGGAATGGGAGTATATTTCTACAAATCATATCTTATAAGGAACTTGTATCTGGAATATATAAATAACCCTTACAACTCAATAATAAAAAGACAACCCAATTTCAAAATGAGTGAGGATTTGGATAGATATTCCGCCAAAGACAATATACAGATGGCCAATAAGCACATGGGGAGATGCTGAACACCATTAGTCATTAAAGAAATGCAAGTCTAAACCACAATGAAATACCACTTTATACCTACTAAGATGGCTATAATAAAAACATCAGATAAGAATGGTTAGTGAGGATATGGAGAAATTAGAATCCCTCATAAACTTCTGGTGGGAATGTAAAATGGTATGGCCTCTGTGGAAACCAATTAGGTAGTTCCTCAAAAAGTTAACATTTGACCCAGAAATATATAGTCAATAGAAATGGAAGCATATGTCTACACAAACAAATTGTACACAAATGTTCAGAGGAGCATATTATTACTCATAATAGCCAAATGATTAAAACAACCCAAATGTCCATCAACTGATGAATGGGTAAACAAAATTTGGCATATCCATGCAATGGAATAGTATTTAGTCTTAAAAAGGAATGAAGTACTGATATATTTTACAACTATGGATAAGGTGATGAAAATGTCCTAAAATTGATTGTGATGATGGCAGCAATACTTTTTGAATATACTAAAAATCATTAAATTCTACACTGTAAAAGGGTGACTTGTATGATATGTGAATTATATCTCAATAAAGCTGTTACAATAAAAGAGATATGAATGTTTCTAAGTTTAATAGTTAATTTTTAGTTCTCGTCTTACTGGACTTCTCAAAAACAATTCAGAGTTCTTCCCCATTCATAAAATACTATCTTTGCTTGGCTTCAGGGACATTACTACTACTTTATTTTATTGCCTGCTCCTTCTATTTCATTGGATCTTCCTCATTTTACTCTTTAAATAAAGGAGCACCCCAGGGCTCAGGCTTTAAACTTTTCTTGCTACTTATTGTCTAGGTTATTTTATCTTAATTTTTTTAAATTGAAGTATAGTTGACACACAACACTGCATTAGTTTTAGGTGATCATACATACATACATACATACATACATACATACATACATACAACATAGTGATCTGACAACTGTATATGCTATGCTATGCTCACCACAAGTGTAGCTACCATCTGTCACCATACAAGGCTATTATAACACCATTGACTATTATTCCCTATGCTGTACCTTTTATCCTCATGACTTACTCATCCCTTAACTGGAAGCCTGTATCTCCCACTCCTTGTCACCCACTTTGGCCATCCCCCATCTCCTTCCCCTCTGGCAACAATCAGTTTGTTCTCTATATTTATGGATCCATTTTTGGGGCATGTGGTTTTATTTTATTTTATTTTATTTTTATTTTTTTATTTATATATGAAATTTATTGTCAAATTGGTTTCCATACAACACCCAGTGCTCATCCCAAAAGGTGCCCTCCTCAA